CATTATGAAAATAAAAAACAATTCAAATCAAATTATGGTAACCCGTATATATTATGTAGAACTGTAGAAGTACCCTTAACAGTACCGAAAAAGGAAAATAAGTTTTCGATTCCACAATCACCGACACGAGAATGTGAAAAATAGTCATTCATCTAGTTTGTAAGAAAATCATCGAAATTCCCCACACAAACGCGTTATAAATCGCAGTATTATTGTTGTAAAGTTCCGGATTGAAACTTGGACGGCGCGAACGTCCTTCACCAGTTGTTGGACGCATATTTACACGACATACTATTATTATAACATAATATGATATTGGTACTTGTTTCGATTTTCGTTTAAAACTGGTTTCGCCTCGGTCGACAATGTTGATATAATATCACGCTAATATATACACGCTTATAATAAACTGAAGTATTTACTGGGACGTAACGTTGCACGTACCTATTTATGTTGACGAAACGGGGTTATTAATTTATAATGATTCCCAGTATACCGACGTGCGACGTCTATGCGATCGAGTTAAGGCAAATATTTTTACGTCACATGGCCATGCGCTGACAAATAATCATATTTACTTTCCGTGAACGCGGTCATTAGGTACCTATTATTTTTTATTTATACATAATATTATATTCCTGCGGCGGAATACCTGCTGCATTACGCACGGTCATCGTTTCTAAGCTAATTGACGCTTAATCGCCGTGTTTTTGTACAACTAATAAGCACATTACGCTCAATAATTAATCACTGCAATACTCCACCGGGAAAATTTTGCGCGTGCGAACGATTTGACGAGACATTAAGGCATATAGATAAATATTTTTTTTTTAGATGTGGAGGAGACAATCACTAGTAAAGGGACCCTCCCCAAAGCCAATGCAAATCGGAGAGAGGAAAGAAATGGACCCCGATATTTTCGTATTTGGTATCACCACTTGAAATATTTTTGAGAACCTATTGTCCATTTGAAACATTACCCAGACGACCCAGACGACTCACGACGAGGCTTCTCATTATCCTCCGAAAATGATTTCATCGAATTAACGGTACGTGATCGTCACGATTGTGTAAACAAAAATCAAAATTTAGGTTTACATATTAATTATTTAAACCAATATGAATATAATTTGTAAAAGGTTTAAAATGTTTAAGTATATATAATTAAAATTTTGTCGTATCAGATACATTTTAGACTAAAGAATTTCATCATAAAACAGTTAAAATATCGTCAAATAGTATTTAAAAATAAAGGTATAAGGTAAGGAACAATTTTCAGGGAACTAAGTCCCTCCCACAAATGCCAGCCAATGAATATCATTACATATATTAATATTGTTATGACTTATGGTAATGGTATGTAAGTGGTATCCTAGTTACTAAATTTGAGTCAAGTTCAGAATAATTATCCCACGCGATATTCAAATATAATTGGTTTATAACATTAAACACATAAGTAGGTGTGCAACACGCTCGATGCAATAGAATTTTAATAAGTAAAAACGCCAAAAAACGTCTGAAATTGTTGTTATTCAGAGACGTATTATATAATCCAAACACAGAAGCTTTGCAAGTAAAAGTGTAGCACACATTATTTTTAATATTCTTCTGCGAGGTTAATGGTGTTTTGTTTCGTGTGAAATGTGAATAGCACAAACTGATTTCGTTTTTAAGACGTTTCTGAATTAGATATTTCGATTTTTCTTTGGGAGCCGAGACGACCCGGATGTTGCACTTCTATATTTTATTTGCATGTGCTTTACACGCGTAGGCACTAATATTTAATACCAATGTCAAGTCGACAAACATATTATATATTATATTATTTCATATAGTTTAGCGTAAAGTGTTCCAAAACGCTAAATTGTCAATGCATATTTTTTTTCTTGCTATATTCACGCCTTAAATGCAAATTGTGCCATTGTGCGGTTTCAAAAGAGTACATATACAGGTATAACATTTTTGCGAATTCCTGAAGAGACTGATATCCAATAACCGAACGCAAAGAAAACATTAATTAATGTGGTCGTGTAATTACTGCATTGTACGGCTTTTTTGTGCCTGACTGACGTCCAGTTTAACCAGATAAAATAATAAATGCAATTGCACAATTATTAGTGTATAAACTATAAAATAAAAAAAAACACGAGTCGATTTAAATGTACAAAAATTGTTTTCGAAATACACACCAAAATGTTTTTTTCCTAAGTTGAATTCCTATACGCATACCGGTATTGTATATGATTAATGTGAATGTAATTTATTAGTTATACCTACCAATAATAAAACCGAAATAAAATCGAATAAAACGCATCAAAATACATAAATACTCTCAAAAATACGTCAATTAATACAAATTTCAATTTTTTTTTCATCTCATAATATTAAATAATGGCATTTTGTTCCAAAACTATTCTTCAGATCTGGTATTATCCATTACATACGCATATTAAATACAAAAAATGTAATTCCAAATTGTACATTTGTACATAATATTATCATTGATCACAGTGGCATTATTATAATGGGATACATATAGTATGTATTTACCATCCCGTTAAGTTATTTTTCATTTATTGCCTATGCAACATACATCAGTATTGGAAGATAAAATATTAATATTAATGAAATAATGTGACACCACTGTGCTATCTAATTTGTCGAAACAAAACAATAATAATAATATTATGCATAATAGCGTAGTTCGACAACAAATCAGATAAGCTTAGGCGTGAAAATAATTTCCATATATTAAAATACGAATATTTAATTAATGAATTAATTACAATACAAAATACGAATGCATGCAGCATATCTAGTTATAACATCGATATATTATTTATACCGTGTCCACTGTCCATAAAGAACATCGATATCTTTGCAGTTTTTATAAATAATACATTATATCAATATTATACGATAAATACAATTTACAGCCCATAGACATAAACCTATGTACACAAACCTAAGTATAAACAAATATTTATTAGGCATTAAATTATTTATAAATTAAAGACGATTCAATATTATGTCTAACAAAAGACTACAATTTCAAGTAATACAATATTATGTTTATATTTTACATAATTTACCGATAAAACATGAGGTATAGTCGAGTTGATGTGCCAAAAATCAATAGTAAATAGTGCTGCTCGTGAAGCACATATTAATATAACAATTCTTCAACTACCTTACAGGAAATGAAACCAATTTTAATTCTGATCGACGATTTTAATTGATAATTATTAATAGTACCACTACATATATGTATATAAAATATAAATTTATGCAGTTGTTATAGTAAGTTACCGTCCTTTCTTTTTCATACTTCATATCTTATTTTTACCCTAAAAATCAATCGATGATCGATATTAAATTTATAAAATTATAATTTAATATAGCAAACATTACGTGAAACCCATCGAATACGAATATTCGTTATTCCAAGGACGTGTTATACAACTATATGTAATACCAGAGGTGAATATTACATTGCAATTTACAATATTTGTATTAATTATATTTTTACACAACTATATACTTGGAAATTTCAGTGATTCAGAGGAAATTTTAATATTTTTAAATATATTCAAAGTTAATAACAAGCATAACATAATTTATTTTTAATCGATCGAATTATTAACTATTTAACATATTGATTTGTAAAATTTCGGAGGTAAAATAATTTATTAAACATAACATTCTTGTTCTACCTAGGGAATAGTTGCTATAGTTATAGTATAGTTGTTTTAAACTGCTAAGGGTTAAAATTTTAAGACATTTGCTTAATTGAACATCGGTGATTGGTCATACCTATAAATAAATTAAGTAGTTCGTTACACTAACCATTAATCAAATATGGTTAGTATACATTACATCTATTATTATACTTTAGTAAAAGATAGCTGTCCAAAGACAAAACATAGCATAATAAGTAACAAAAAAATATTTTCATATTGAATAAACGTAATAATAATTTTTAAACATCAAGCAAATGATATCATATAATAAATTAGGTATAATGTAGTATGTACTGCATAATGTTATACCAGTGAGTTCTTCTTATAAAAAAATGTAGTTATGTCATAAAGTTGTATAGAAAAAATTACACACATACTACAAAATATTATATAACAACGAATAGATTTACAAAAATAATCATTGATATATTAAAATAATATGCAATTTTAAGACAAACAAAAGTAGGTAAAATGACATCAAACTATTTTGCAACAAAAACATAAACGCCTACAATTTACGGATGGCGCACAAGCAATCTAAATACTATATTTTATTCGAACTGCCGCCAAAGGATCTTTACCGCATTGTCTAAGTTAAAGTACCTACCTAAATAATTGTATCCGTTGCAATTACAAGTAAACAATAATATCTAACTATACCATCTATCTACGATTATACATTATCAGGATTACTATTGTATTAGAGTTAAAACGATATGTATTTATAATGTATAATATATAAAGTAAATAAGGAAAATTATAATATTATACAGCTGCAGCCAACCCACAAACACATAATAAATACTAAAATGAAACACAACTTTTTAACTAAATTCAAATAGAAAAGAAAACAGTTTCCAGTATCTAATTATACAGGTATCTCAAAGTTTGGTGTGTTTATTACTCTGTGTCTCTGTAGTCTGTGGCCAGGTTTATTGTAACTTTATAACTTCCGGATGATACATATATCAGTATATACTATAGGATACCAATGATACAGTTTACTATTTACCATAATATGCATATTGCGTATACTGTATAGTTTACACTATATGATATGTGATTATAGTAAGTTATAGTAAATCAAATTTATGGGAATGAAATGAGTATAAATAACAACCATACGGCATACAGCCATATTATTATTTAAAAGGTATATCAATAACACCATATTATATTGACTATTAACTTAGAAAATTAATATTCATCTATCAAGATGAATACAATATCATTTTGCAAACGGTAACTTATTTGTTTTACCTGTATGACGACGGAGTAGCGATCATCACAATTTTACGACTGTGACCGTAGGAACACTTAGCCAAGACGCAGGTGTATAAGTGTATTGTTCAGGCGTTCAGCGTCCAGATTCGTGAGCTATGACCTCACAACACAAATGGAAATTATTGCACGCACCGGTGTACACAGCGACACCGAATTACTACAAATAATAGAAAATAAAATATTTTAAAAAAGTGCTAAAAGTGGTATTAGTCAACTAATTGTGTGCAAAACACAATGTGCACTATAAGTATCTACGTAAATGGCTAAAAATTACTCTTAAAAATACAATGCAACTTTCATTTTATATTTTTGCAACAATGACTTTTGCGAGGAAACCGCCACGCCGGGGCAATACTACAGGAGTGCTGACGGTGCATTATGTTTTGGCAAAGTATATAACATTTGCCGAGTGATTTTTTTTTGGTAATGAATTTTAGATACAGGTAACAAGCCTTCAAACAGTTATTTTATTCACCCGGACGTTATTTATTACCCCAGTATTGTGTGCAAATGTTTTATGTTTATAAATCAATAATATTGTTCTTTGTTGAATACTAATACGCGTGGTGCATATATTATTACCTATATAGTTGTTATCAAAAACTATAAAATCGCGTCGACAACAATATATGTGATAATATCACGTACCTAATATACTTACAGTTTTATTACAAGTGAAAACATTTGTACGTTTATACCAATACGTAATATATTATTATGCCAAACGCAATAAATCTAGTGGGACCTACTTGACAGTTTCGATCCGTGTTGAACAATTATAATATATGCAGTACACTGGCTATATCATTACTCGTACAAGGTGAAATAAAACGAGAGTTCAAAGACACTGTTTTTACCAAGCCAATTTTAAAAATTTTATTTTACGTTCATTGAAAAATATAAAAAAAAAAGGGAAATATAATGTCCGAAAAGAAAGGAAACGATATTTTCAAATCGTATTGTAATATATGAAATCCTTAAGGGTTGGCCGGATATAATATAATAAAACGGGCGTATAATAAACGTTTCCGCCTTGGCCATAATTCACCGGATCTCTGATCGACATATTTTCATCTCTGTTGACAATTAATATGAATATTGTAGGTACTGGGTAGCACATATTATTTATATATTACATACAATATTATACATTGTATATACGAGTAATAGGTAAAATAATAATAATAATACTGTTATATACCACCCGCGATACACCAAGGACAGCCTCTGTACTGAACCGGATCACGCAATCATTTTGATGCATTGCTCTTGTCCTTTTGTGTGTTTATAAATATAAAATAAAAGCAAGGGATACATATATAATATAGGTGCACGCGTACTGCAACATTACATTATACATTATATATACATACACCCATTACGATATCCGGTATTTTATAATTTTAGTTTCGAGTTGCGCACACATTTTTTACACACTAATGGGTGCACTTCCCCTTTACGGACACGCACCACTGATTAAACCGAATCGGAAGTAATGTAGGGGTTTCAAAACACAAACGCTCTTAATTGGTCATATTATACCCGTGTTAAATGACGTGCGGACATTAGATACGGATTTATACTATGTACGGATACCACTATCAATAGTAAAATCCAACCACAGCTGGTGGTGGTGTCACGGTCATGTGCGAAAAAATCAAAACACGGAACGTATCCTGCGAGCATTACATAATATATACTAGAATAGACGATTTATTGAACAAACGTTTCAGTGCAAAAAATAATTAATATAGTTAAAAGTAATAAATATAAATCAAAATAAATTATTCGTGATAAACATGAATTATAATTATTTAGGTACTATAAATTCTTAGCTAGAAAATCAAGTTGTATTGGTACTTATTTTGGATAGATAAACGTTAATATAAGTTCACAATGAAGTTTTTACCAAAGATTGTTTAGTATTGTTTTTAAGATAGAAGTGGTAAAATGTTAATCATCAATAAAATATGCATGTATTTCGTAAAGTATATAAAATATCGACATTAAAGCAGACATTTTATGGGCCACAGGAAAAAGGTGCATAATTTTATTTAAACTATACAGTAGGTTATTTTTATTATAATGTCAATAGTAAACATTGAATCAGAAAATATTAAATTATAAGTAATTGAAGTTGTCAAGTTTACTATATCTTGTCAGTACTGTTACATATATGTTTGTGATTGGTTATATTATATACAGATATTTTTCAAATCAATTGATAATGGATCAAAATAAAAATGAACCACATTCATTTTTTGTAAAATACCAAATAGATATGTTATTACTTATTATTCTTATGATTGAAACTGTTGAATAATTTTTTTTATGACGGTCTCGTGTAAATAAAAAAAATCTATATATATCCATAACATCATTACACATCTCCAAATATCACACGTCTCCAATTTAATTGTTATCTGATATTTTTTACGTTACAAAGTATAATGTGTAAACAGTAAATACTCATTCGTATGTAAATCTTAAAAGATTTATTACGCAATATGCGTGTAAACCAGATGTATACACAAAAAAAGTCTAAAATGTTGTTAACACTCACGTGTTAATATTATTATTGTAATAGTATAAAAAATTATTATTATTATTATTATTATTATTAAGCAATCAAAGAAACATCCATTATAACTAAAACATACAAAATATTACGTTTCATTATTGAATACAATGGTTCAAAATATTATGTTTGATTATATCTGAGAAATTATTTTATGTGCACCGGTCTATTCGCGATTGTATGTAGAACACATAGCAACAATTAAATATAAATAAATATAGTAGTCAAATATAGTCGTAGTCGTTGACCCTTGTCATGATAAAATATAATTTTTTATTATTACTATAATATGATTAGCCAAATACTAAATAATTTTTAATGAATATTTTAATACCTATTGCAAAATTAACATGCAGTTATAAACGTGTAAAATACCGGGCGAGTTTTTCTCTTATAATAATGATAAAAACGTGGGTGGATGTAAAAAATCTCGTACTTAATATCTTAAATTCTTAAACACACTTCATACTCGACAGCTGAGATGTTTGACAAGCGATTTACCGAAAACGACAAACATAATATATATAATAATATTATATATGTATAAGTGTACCCACCTAAACGCGTCTTTTCCATAAACACTAAAAACAATAAAATAAAAGTTATTTCTAAACAAACAACAATCGTGCACGGTGCACCTAGTTTAAATAAATGACAACCGGCAGGGAGTAATAAGGTTTTTCCGGTTACATAGACCAGCAGCCGGAACACAACGCCCTTGGTTTCAGCTTCAATAAAGATCTCGGGACCAAAACACCAGCTGCTGTTAGCTTCAATTAATATTACCAACGATCTAACATACTTGTATACAGGGTGTCCCACGAATATTTAGAAATTAATAACGGTGGCGGGATGATGAAATCAGTAATATCCAACCAGATCCTAAAGCAAATCATCACGGGACATCCTGTACAGACAAACTGTGTTCAATCTAACGATTTGAAGCTATAAAAATATTATAGATAATAATAACGCATGGCGTTTAATGTGTGTATTGTAAAAAAGTAAAAAAGTTCTCAATACAAAGTATCCAATATTATGCATTAAACTAATATGACGTTTAAAATTTGAAATTTAAAAAAATGGCCGGTATACAAATAATTTAATTAATAATTATTATTTATTAACCGTTTTGTTGCTTATTATTATTGAATTATTGTATCTTACGTATATTATAATTAATGTATTATAAGTATATATATAGGTACACAAGAATATAAGATTATTATTTATAAATACTAGTATTTATATACTTTAAATATACATATATAATATATATATCACAAGCGTATTAGAGTATAATAATTCGAAACCAAATGAGTGAACAACGTACATGCGATTGTACATTTTGAACTCGTCGACTTTAACGAGATCAGTTCTAATAAGACATTCCAATTTAATATAATTAAAAAAACTCCTTAATCAACGCATATAATATACATGAGAAATAGGTTAAAACAAATAACAATTATAATAGCTCACTTTCAAATTTATTTAAATGTTGTTTTCACAAACTAATTGATTATGAAGTAATTTTTTTTTAACTAACACTAAATTGTTTGTATAAAATGATTTTCAAGAAAATATTACTAATAAATTTTAAAATAAATTCTGTTATTCACTAAAAAATAATGATGTACAACAGGCTAGGTATACCTACTTGCTATTAAAATATAATCGAAAGGTCGACAGTTGTTGAAATGGGTTACATAATTTATTAAAATACCTAATTACTGTTAAATAGCTTTATTGTAATTATTACATTAGTTTTTTGACAGAAAATTATACATCAATGTCGGAGAAAATCACATGGTTGTATTAATAATCAGTTGTTATATAAGTTCATCCCACGGACTAGAAGCCAATAGGTAAACGTGGGTAGCAAAATGTCGATAAAACTCATATGTATAGGTCATTTGGCCCCAATAAACAAATATTCTTAATGACTTGAGAGTATAGACAATATATATTATAACAGCAAAAGATTTTTTTATGTTAAGTAATGTATAATATTTTATATGCCTTAGAACATTTATGGAGCAACAATAACGTTAGATATCGAATATATTACAAAATTATATAGAAATATAGTATATAGTCAAGAAATATAATAATATATATGTATATAAATATTCATCTAGGTACACAATGTTTAATATACCAAGAAACGGGCTGGAAGTATTAATATAAATATTATTTCAACTACGAATACTTCGTAGTTCTTACAAACAAAATAATGTAACAAAATAACTTTTATTATAAGAGAATAATGGTTCGTATTATTGTATATTAATCTTCATAAATTTAAATTAATATAACAATGTGTAACCTTTTAATGAATAATGGACTACATAAATAACTAAACTCATAAAGTTATCCAATATCTCAACAATTACATTTTTATAAATATTATAATATTTTCTTATTATTATTGTTGAAAACATTTATATAATTTTGTAATAATTGATAACGTATACCTAACTAACCGGGAAACATTTTGGTTATGAATTAAATGCACGGATTTCTAAGTGTTCAGTACCTACATTCTACACTTTGTAGTATGCACCTGTATCTATGTATCTATTAGATAGTAGATACTTGAATTTCAGAAAAAAATAACACATAAATGATCGTACAGTTTTATTACGTATAATATAATTACTCTTAATGCGATGATGCCAGTGTTAATTGAACATGTGTAAACAAATGCATTTTTAAAATTTGTAAAAAACAAATGATAATAATAAAATAAAATGAACTCAGTTTTGACTGATATTATGACGTAATGGGTGTTTGAAATAATTTTTAATGAACAACAAAGATATCCTGGTTTGAAAGCAACAGATGTTTCGTTAATTTCCAGTTAATTAAAACCACGAGCATAGTAAAGTATATAATATTCTGTACTGCCCACACAAGACACAACAATCAAATGTACGTAGACGTAGTTATTCATCGAACCAATTCTTAAAAGCAATGAAGCATACTATTATACTATAATATTATTACGGCACAATTTCCAGCGACTGCTGACTAGTAATATTTATAAATATCTATAAATGACTATAATATTATTTTGTACTTTCATCACGATAATAGATTAATATAATATTATTATTATACTCTGCCCGCGTGTAGGTAAATTGTACATAATTGTACGATGTGTACCTGTGTAGACGGAATGAAAATACTCAAAACACAATTGCTCACATTCTTCACAAGGCCGTAGGTATACATCACTAATACGAAAAAAATTACCCTGGAATCCGGCGTAAAAACTAGCTGACCATATGGGGGGTTTTCACGGCCCGGTGATCCCGAAAAGAATTTTCACTGTTATTTTATATAACAACGTTTATTTATTATTATTTTTTTTTTTTGACGCGTCATACACTCGACACGGAATGTGGGAAAAGAGATTTTTTTGATTTTTTTTTCATCTCACCAGAATATTATATATTTATATCATTATATGTACCGACAAAAATACAGCAGCGGTGACACTTGGTGATTATTTTATCGAAAAAAGCTCAATTTTTTATTTTTCTAATATTGAAGATTTTTAATTTCTTTTTCCAAATCAGAATATTTTTCGGAATATACTTAGATAAGTGCATAAAAATCGAATTTCGTACTAGTAGGTTTCGAGTAATAAGTATTTAGAGGTAAGTAATCTAATTTACTACTCGTCCGAAATTTGATTTTTGTACACCGTAATACTCCAGGTAATATTCTGCTTCAGAATAATAAAAAATAATACCGATAGGTACAGCTTTTTTTTATCTTTTTGTTATTTCGTAACAACTTAAAAATTAGGTAGGTACGTAAACATTTTTTATAAAATGTTTTGACGTAAGTGAGTGTTGTTCGATTAAAGTATCGACCCTTAAAATATTAAATAATATGTACAGTAAGATGCTGCAGTAGACGTTCGAAAAAAAATGCATTTACGTCTCATTACACAAGAAAATTTTTCTGGGGGAGAGGGCGGAGAAAAGCAAAATCGACGACAATAATATGACTAATAACCGTAGGTTACCTGCAGGGCTGGTGGTGACGGTTTTCAGTCGTACGCGGAGAAATGCTGCTGCGGCTGAAACTCGTAAGTACTCGAAGCGCCGGGGGCGGTGACAGCGGTGACGACGGTGACGACGGTGACGGAGGCGAACCGCGACGACAACGACGACGAAGACGACGACGACGATCGCAGACGGACGACGGACGGGCAATGAATCACTGAAATATCCACGAGCACGCACACCATCCGGTTTCGAACGAAACGCACATGTCGGTCGGAGAGGCGCCGCCGCTAGCGCCCCAGTGCGGCCACTCCGAACGCTCGAAATACTATAATATTATAGCGACAATATCATTTTGTTTTTCGTCGATATAGTGTTTGCATTTCGTCAATTTATTATAGTATATTTTTATAAATTCAGTTGTAAACGAGTTTCTGAAATTTCAAATAGAAAAATACAGAGAAAATCTGTTCAATATTCGAGCACCGCACGCCGAATATCAGCAACTCGCAGAACTAGAGTTTGTCATTTTGTCGTTTGGAGTTTTTATAAAAATCGCCATCGAAATACGTGACAAATGATTATGAACTCGTTGACTGTCGTTTCGATCGTTCGAAAATAATACTGTTGTTGTAGCTCAAATGCCAAAGTAAGCCCGTATGTTTTCAATCTTATCAGTTACATAGGTATTGATAGATATTATAAATTTTATTATATGATGTTTGTATTTCAAAAATAAAGAGAAAAGGCGATTTTTGCTTCCTTGTAGTATACTAATATCAGTGTTTTGAATTAATAATAATATTATTATAAACATGAAATTTGAAACCAATTTTAGTTTAAGACAGATACAAACGTAAAGCAAAATCGTAATATATATATATTTACCTATACTTAAAAACCTTGAATGACAAAAATATGCAAAATACAATTTTGTATTCATACATTCAGTCATTCCTTATTATTTTACGAAATTAATTTGCATCATTAATTCTATTGCTATGACTTCGTATATAAATTCTACAAAAACTTGGAAATAATGCAATAAAATCCGACCAGGGCTCATATCGATCGTCTATGTAAAATAAGTATTTCATTATTACCTACATAAAACATTTACATACCTATTTGATATCGCATATTCATATTATAATATAGGTAATAATGTAATATATAATTCAAAGGTGGATTAGTTAAAGAAAATAATTAACCTTTTACCTAAGTTAATTTAGTTAGTCAACGTTAAGTAGCTAATAATGTTAAGCTATAAATTAGAAGTTGACAAACAATATATTTAAGTATTTAAGTCTAAAAAGTATAAAGTTACACGGACATTTGTTGTCTCCGTCTTACAAGTCCGTAACATACAAAATGTACTCTCAGCAGATTCATTTTAGCTTCTTTAATTTAAAAATAAGAGTGAACAACCAACCTATTATGAAACTATTGAAACTTGATGGTAAGAAAATTATCTATGCTTGTAAGTGGGTTTTTATGATGATTCAGTTTTTAAGTGAGTTATGAGTTATGACTTAATGGACATTTTTAATTTACAATATATTGTATTTATATAAGGAAAACAGGCTAAAAAATGTAATTATCGTAAAAAACCCAAATACAAACGTCAAACACAGTTAATGTTCTTACCATCAAGTTTCATAATAAGTCGATTCGCTCTCATTTTTTAACTGACGAACGTTTAATGCTTAAACGTGATCTGCTGATGTTACTCGTGTTGTGTAGTGTCAATCCGTCATCTTAATATAAAGAAAACTATCAACTTAATTGAGTTTAAAATAAGTAAATTATTATTTTTTTATCACCACCTGAATCACCTCACACATAATGTAATATACTTATAATGATTGTTAAACTTTAAATTTATTTTAAATAATAGGTAGGTAACTAAATATTTTATTGTAAAATAATGCATCATTAAAGGTAGCCATTTCATCCCAATTCCTATTTTCTATACCAGCGGTTCTCATACTTTTTTTGTTCACGGAGCCCTTATGTTCCTAAAAAAAAAATTACGGAGCCCCCAAAATTCAGAAATGTCTATTTGAAACAACAATAATTCCTAGAAAATGATGTTGATTACTTGATTATAAAAAAATATGTGGATTATTTATAAATAGTTTACAGTTTTAAACTTTAAAATAATACATATTGGTACGGTCCAAATAATAATGAATACAAGTATAAAAATTAAAAATGTAACTAAGAAATATAATAATAATTTAATAATTTGAATTTAATTAATACAGATAGGTTAGGGAGCCACGGAGCCCCTAGATTACTCTCGCGGAGCCCCAGTGCTCCGCTGAACACAGTTTGAGAATCGCTGTCCTATACCATTCCTTTTTATATAGCTTATTAGTACACACATTCTGTAGGAAGTAAATAGACAGGTAGTGGTTATAGAGTATAGACTATACTACTATACTACTACAGTCAGAAAAAACTTTGTGTCAAACTGTCAACTAAATTATTAGAGCAACGATTATTTATTTGTTTTTTTTTAAATTTAAAATCATTGTCGATGGTACAAATAAAACCATTGTATACAGTGTCGACCACCGGTGATTAAATACAAATATTAAATTAATTAGTTAATAAATAGTTAAAGATATAGACGTGTATAAACATATTTATTTTTTATTTTTAATAAAATTTCAAATTGACTGGAAAAAACTAAAGTAAGTATAAGTATTTGTTATTATGGATTCTATAGCTAGATACGTTATTAAACTAATTATAAAATAAACAATCTAGCAGTTAAAAAATAAAAAAAAAATAAAGTTTCTAACTTAGCTTTAACTTTTGATGTTATATTATAATTATTCAGACACGCTGTATAAGACAGCTGAGACAGTTTTTGGTTTATCCGGTAAAGCTCCCCGCTGAGCAACTAGTGTTCTCTGAATGCTGCTAAAGCTATAGCTCGGGAGGCCAACGATTCGAATTCGTTTCACTCTGCAGACCTTACTGTATACATCGATCACGTTGTACTGCAGTATGTTGTCTGTGAAACCCGCAGTTGCAGTTTATAATAATAATACCATTTCTCACTGTAATCGATTCGATTACGATGTGGTTTATCATCAAGATTATTGTCATGATCCATTGCAGACAATTTGAATTGGATAGCGAACTTAATACACGTAACACTCAAACACGCATGTAACGCATAATGCACATTGCACGTCATAGTGCAATAATCTCGGTCTGCTGCACCGCGGTTTCCGATCAACATCTGAGCTTGTGTATTGCGAATCGTGTCGAACGGTCCATTTATAATGAAATAACAACACCCAAAGATCGTGTTTGGTTTGAGAGGAGAGAGGACATTAATTCACTGCAATAAATCAAATATAACAAATATTGTAAACAATTGTATATTGTATTACTTTATTGTCGCAAGTAATATTATAATACTATGACGTGTAGTTTAAAAAAACCAAAACACTGTAGCTTCCTCGTTAGGAAAATAATTTATAAAAATTGTTTGATATATTGGCACTATCTTTAATACAATATAATTTAAAATTTGATTGTAAGCGTTTAAAGTTTAAACATTTTATACTCTAAAGTTGGACTGTAACTGTATGCCACAATATAGATTTTGCGAGGAGGAATTTCTTTATTATGGCTCATTGGATAGACACGTGTCCGTTGTTAAGTTTTTTAAACTTTGCCCCCTGCACTCGATTCAAATAGCAAACGAATTCTAGTTCCTAGAGATTTATACCTAGTATTTACTACAGTTCTAATATTAGGTGAAGTAATTAGCTGTCGATGAGTACATACAACTATGATACAGTAGTACCTACGGAATACAGGTTTACTTACACATTACAACGTAATTATTATTATTTATTATAGTACATTTTTAATAATATTGTAAAGGAAGTCGAAAGCAGGTTCCTAATTCACAAATGTACGGTCGTGCGTGGACAAAAGGTAATAAGCACTTAAAATAAAAATAATAATTGATCGTGCCATTATAATAAATATTATTTTCAATTATATAGGAACCCACCATTTATGTGAGGTGGCCAGCCATGTCACCACCGGTTATTTGTGTTTGAATAAGATTGAAAAAACAAATGACATTTTGTGGGAAAATGCTTAGCCCGCAGGTAGGCATTGATAAACATACCTAAATTAATAATTGAAAATATTCGCATTGGTCAATAATAATTATCGATTAACCATTGATTATAATTTAACAATAACATTATTCATCAACGCTTGATTATAAATTATAATATTGACACTTGACAGTATATACCTACTAAATTATCAAAACTGTATTTATTGACTAAAGTACACCAGACGCTGCCGTAACCACACAATATGAACATAAAATGTAATATCATTTGTTCTAACCATACTTATCAGTAATCCCCAATCCTCATACCTATCTTTATAGCCCTAGCCATCATTATTAATGTCTTAAAAATATAATGTATACTTACAATATGATAAGTAATCAACTATAATGTCTACAATAATAGTATTATATAATATAAAATTATCTAGAGTCTAGAGGTCATGATATTTTGTAGCAGCTCAGAGAAGTCTTTCGTTATAACTTGTAATGGAAACGTAAAAACTAAAAATCATAGAACACGGTAATAAAATAAATACCATCCACCACAAAACATATTTCAAAGCAACACATATGGACATTAAGAGGTCGGGATTTTACAACATCCATGTGTTCGGTATTATTTGGACGTCAAAGAAGAACGGTCTGATTTTTCGGGTGTTTTTGTTGAAATCGTTTTGTATAGGCGGGTCCGTCGTTAACATTACCAAATTGCATGTATAGTTTATACTATATTGTTCACATCACACGTGGCTGTGTACAATAAACTGCGGCGATTTCGATATATTTGTCGTCGTTTTTCGGCTGTAACTTATAAGTCAAATGCCATCGAAAAACATGTGGTCGAATTCAATATACCCAACAATACAATATAGTCGTATATAATATACGACACATAGGGTAGGCGTATGTTTAATTCTTAGAAGAAAAAATAACCTTTACTTAAACAGCTTTCCCCAGTGAGGGAAATTACAAAAAGTAGTAAGAAGTAGAGTACATGAAAATAAAATAATAATAATAATATTTAACACCAATATAATACGTGGGTATCTTTTATTATTTATAACAACAATTTGTGTGGCTAGCAGACAAGAAAACAAAGTAAAGACCGATTATATTATACGTTCTAGTGTTGTAATTTTTTTTTTTTTTTTCATTTTTATCATTTATTGATTTTAATTTATATCAGAAATTTCGATAATGTTTGTTATCCAGGTTCTTATTGTGGCCCTTTACAAACAACAATTATTGGTGACCCCTAATTTATAATATTATATTGACGTATTCACTGCTGCTGCTGAACTGTTAACTTTAAAAACAAACAAGTTTTATGTAGATAAATATTCTACGTAGACCATAGAAGCAATATTCTTAAATAAAAAGGAATAATTATAGAAATGCACTTAAAATATCGTTGATTAATGAAAGATAAATTCAATATGATTAATTTAACAGTAACTAGAACAGTTAAACATATTTTAAGGATGTTTTCAAAATTAAATAAAAATTAATGGAAAAATATATAAATACGTGATCGTGGTGGACAGTGGGCCAAGGTAATTTGTGTAAGTATTGTTAGAGTTGAAAAGATTATTTAAGTATGAATATAGGTAAAATATATTTTATTATATTAACTAAAATACAATTATTCAACTATGGTTTAAATTTCTAATTTATGACAACAGATACTTAGAGAAAAGAACATATAAACAATTTAAAAATATACCTTAAAAAAAATTATAAACACATTCCTGACGTTGTTTGCTCGTAACAAACCAGGAGACCGATTAACAATAATTTGTAATTCGTTAATATTTTTTATTTTATTTGTAAAATGGAAGTCAGCAAGCATGTTCATGTAGATGATATAAAATTATGTATACAAATAAATAAAATGCAGCATATATATTTTGGCCGTCTGTAGATGTAACTAAATTCAAATATTAAGTAATGTTAAATGTTTATAAATAAAAGAGAAATTTTTTTGAATTTACTTATATGAGTAGGTGTAATATAATATATTAATATATTATCTCCAGTGCTAATGAAAAAAACTACAAACCCGTTCATTATTTTGAATATATTTATGTTATATACTTTATATTTATGTGAACTCAGTCGCGTATTTAGGGTGGTCCCCCAGGTGTAGATTGTGGGCGGCTGATTTTCAAGACTTTTTTATTTGAATATAATATATTACGTAATGGGATGTAATTATTATGTATTGTATTTGTCATGATTTTTCGAATTAGTAAAAACAGCACTTTAGTACAACAACTATACATTTAAAAATAGGATTACATTTCCCCGAGGTGTTAAAATTTTAACAACAAAATATTATGATAGTAACTAACTGTCTAACTACTTACTATATTATATACTACAAGTATATAGTACAATACCGAAACAGTAGCACTGCAGAGTATGCAACTATATAATAATATTATGCATAATATAATACCTATTTATAGGTAATATAATACGTTACACGTATGCAACTATGAACTAACAAGTAAAAGTGTTTTGATATATTATGAGCATTGCTATTGTTATTTGTTATTGAAGTCCTCAAGTAGTCAAGTGTAGTCTATGCCAAAAATATAAATACAAATTAAATTAACGAATGAGTTGGTGGACTTCTTGATTCATTATTATAAATTATACCTACCTAATTAACATTTTGAAAAAATTCCTGTTTAAAATTAAACTTTCACTAACTCATTATGGACATACTAAAATTAAGTTTGTTCAACTAATATATTATAGAAATTAACGCCATTCGGATTTTTAATAATATAATATACTATATAGGGCTTGTGACTTCTATTATTATATTGTGTGCCGTTACCTAATTTTAAAAACAATGGTAAACCTACATACTTAATAGTTAACACTTACATACAACATGCCTAATTAAATGACAAAATATATGAAAACAATAAAACATGATACTTAATTTGGCATGCATAAATCATTGAACTTAAATTTGTTTAACTCAAAGGGTACCATTTTAATTTTCATTCAAATTAAAAATTCGTATAATATTACTAATTACTGAAGTCTACTCGGTACTTCAACTTTCAAGGCATCTATACTCTATAGTTAACTTAGACTCATAAGGGGAAAATCGTGTGCACAATAGGGCTTTAATATATGAGAGCACTTATTAGCAAACCACAAAACAATTAAAAACTAAAACTAATATCAGAAAACTTATCAAATTATTATTGTTTGGTTCTTTGGAACTACCTTGGATTTATTTGCTGAAATAATGTGATATTAATCTTGTGAATTATTGTGACGTATATTTTATAATAAACAGATTACACACTAGGAACATAACTTCCGTTCTTCGATACTCAACGAAATGTCACGTAACGTTTGTAAAATAAATAATAATATTAATAATTGTTCTCTTTTTATTTTTATTTTATTTTCATATATTTTGTACTTTTGCAAAATATTGATAATAAATATTCTATAGAAAATATGTGAAGCACGATTCGTTGGCGTGCGAAAATGAAAAAAACAAGTCACTATTTAGTAGAAAAAAACGTACATTAAATTTGTTAAAATAAAATTATCTTAGTTTAAATGTTTTTGAAGCCTTGTGAAAAAAATTAAAAAATTAAACAAACGTTTCTAGAGTATATTCATGCAATTACTAGAGTGCAACTAAAAAAAAAAAACCGTAGAAAAATAATTGAAGTAACAGAAGAAAATCGTGAGCAAAGCTTGCATACCTATATGCTGGCTGCCCAGGCCGAAACTGTATCAAAGAATAAATCAGATTTGCTGAGATTAAATGCTGCTGATGGATGTTTTGTATTTTGTAGGTACTGATGACAGAGGTACGCCGTTACCCGTAAAAGTTTTTAATCTGAAAAATTGGTTATTTTAATAATGATATAATATTAAATGTCCAACGTATCTAAATATCTGTATTACCTAACTAACTTATGACTTATATACTTAATACTAATTACAAACTATATTGCATTATGCTTAAATTAAATTCTACAATGTAGGTATTTATTTACAATGTAAGAAAACTAATGATGCACGTATCTAATATGTTAAATAAGATATAATAATGGTATTTAATAGAGATAAATTAATACTCGCATAAGTTGTAACTAGTAGGTACCTAACTAATATCATAACAATTACAGCCGTTTACTACGAACTACACGAACTGCACTACCAGTTACCGCATTCTAAATCACCTATTACAAGTACAACAGTACATACTTATATAATAATTTTACAAGGCAGAACGAGTTAAGTACAATTTAATGTTTTTCTTCAACTATACCTACGTAATCTATATGTTAAATGTAGATTGTATACCTATACGGCTATAACTAAATATTATATGTATGTATGTTGCATGGGATTGGCATGGGTTATGGGAATAATAAAATATTCCAGAACCACTTACAAATATATACGGAGTGATTCACTAAGCATGCTCACCTCTTTTTTTTCTTCAATAATGCATTTATTAAAAAGCTGATTTTTGAAATTTTCAAAATATGTATTTAAAGACTACCTATATTATCAAGCTATTGAGATTTTCTGTAGGATTTACTTAAAAAGTATTCTGTGGAAATACAAACTACTGTTTTCCAAATGAGAACGTCTCCCTTATATTTCAAGTGGTTAAATGTGTGTAGATTGTAGACAATATAGTTGCAATATCGATGTTTTTAACTGTATCAGACAATTTAGATAGTATAATATAGTAAAATACTGGAAAAATGTTTTATTTAAACTTACTAAGAACAGTTATTTTTTTGTTAGAATTTTTTTTAAGATGACCAATTGGCCAATTAATTATTGTTATATACGATAGACTTTATAGACTGATCACTAATCAGCAGTAATATGCAATATGCATGTAGGTAGACAAAATATAAAATAAGACATTATACATAAAATGTTCAATCTGTTCTCTGTAGGGCCTACCCATTTAAAACAATAACGTACACACAACTACTTCTGTATAACACTAAGTAATAACTACAAAATGTCTATATTTTATACTTTCAGATCTTTCATCGCGGATATCCGCCGACGCTTCTTGAATCAAAAACACAGTGTAGGTGGTCGTTGAATACAATTGTGTAATCTGGAGCCCTGCATGGCTGCATGATTTGGTAGATAGGGTGTCATGGCCGGATATGCGGGCCAAAATATTATGGCGCCAATTTCAATAAACCGTCGAGACATAATATTATCAGTATAGTATCGAAATAATGTAGACAAGCACGTGTACGAAAAATAAGTTGAGGTTCATGTATATGTTATTATGTTAGTATAATAGTTATGACTATATGAATCGAATTTATATTATATACTAAAAAATCGCGAAATATGCTCTTATAAATATGTATTTATGTGTAACAAAAATGGCCAGACTTACATAATATGTGAATATGTGATATTGAATACCTCATAACTCATGGTAGTACTGTATTTGTGATGCACAGCCATGTTGCGTAGTGACCAACATCAATTTCATCACTTTCCTTTGACGTATGTCAACATTACACCTTTGTAGAAAACTTGCAACGGTCTCTCATATGCGGTAAAATACTCTCTTAAAAACCATATTTACAAAAACTGGAAGTGTCTATGAAAATTTCATGGTGTATTTCAATTTTTGTAACTGAAACATTAGGTATAACAAAAATCATTTTGAGAAGAAATCGTCGAATATATAATATGTCGTCAAAATTTAAACTTCGATTCCTCTAAAACAATATATTATAATGTGCTTTGCTTAACTCTTTTTTTAATTTCCAGTGAAATAATTTATAGGAAGGATTTTTTACACAATTTTCAAGCTTAAGTGATTAAAATTAAAATGTTGATGAATTTTCAACTAAAAAATAATTACCTAACATATTTTCGTGATTTTGAAAAATTTCAAAAAACTTGAACAAAATCGCTTATAAAAAACAATTTATAACTATGTCATTTCTAAATACCTCCGATATTTTCAAAATATTTTTTCAATGCTATTATGTCTAGAAAATGCTATTGTAAATAATATGTATAAATATTTGGGAAAAAATAATACAAGTATATAACTCTTAAATTATTAATTTTTCAAAAACAACTAAAATATTTAGTTGATTTAGTATAAAATTGGTTTTGCATACTAAGATTCTCGTTTTTCCTAAATGCGGAGGGAGCGGAGCGATGAATGTATTGATTTTAAAATAATGATTCGTGTTTTTTTGGTGCCTGCATTGCTTCACAGTCACCATACATGATATGTACGTAGTCAAAATAATGTATCGATTCAAATTTCGTTATACTTTCGAAGTATTTTTTAAGTTATTACATTTCTTTGGAGTTCAGATTAATTTTAGAATTTCGAAATTTTTGTTTAAGTTCGGTTTGTTTTTTTGAATTTCGAACAGTTCAACCCGCGTCTATTTTATGTAGTGTGTTTAAATTTGTACTGTTAAAAAATGACCAAATATTGAAACATGACCTTACAACAAATTGTAAAATATGTTCTTCAATAATATTCGTATTTTTAATCACACCTTCATGAAACACATTTTGTGCTTACTTAGCATACAATACGACCAGCCAGTAAAAATATGCAAATGCATACAATTCAGAGCCCTAGTTTTGACCTATATAATGATATTCTATAGTACCTAGAATATTATATATAAATAAATAAATAATTTACGAACAGGGTATGAAAAGAATATAGTTTAATATACTTACGAACTTTTCCGATTTGATATTTTTTGCAATTCATCATTCGATTATTCTTTTTCTAGTTGTTTATTGTTTTTCAATCTTTGAAAAAACATCCATTCGGAGTGGTGGTTGTTAAACTTTAAGCACTTCCCCGCGCTTCTTGTATAGAGTTAGCTTTCTAAGATTCAGAGTAACCGAGTAGTACTGTATCTTAAATAATACAAGTCACAAAGGTTAAAGACTTAACAATTTTTACATACATCAATAATGGTAAGATTAAACTAAAGATTAGGCTACATATATTATTATAATTCCATAACATTAAAATAGACTCTTATTCTAAACCATTATTTTGCAACACTATTCATGAATATATTATAGGTACGTGCCTCTCATATAACTTTTTATAATAATTCGTGGATGAAAATTGTTGTTAAAATTATTATTATTATTGCTACTAATAAATCAAACTGTTGTTAATTTATTTTTATAATTATAATAACTGATATTACATCATTTTATACACGTCTAATCAATATGATTTGTTTCTTTGCGTGTTCATTTAATAGTAGGTAATAAAAATGTCATATTACGAACGACGTTAGACTTCCCATGGGTAGGTCCATTATGATTTTTTTAAACCTACACTGTATATTTTATATTCTATTATGGTATTGTATTGAACACTTAATACTATTATCGAGGATTGAAGAAAATAAACTTGTTCATTAGATTAAATTCATTTTTGTGCTTAAATTATGATGTATTACAATTAATAACTGATGATGTATGATAGAGGAATATGTCACTGATTAAGTGATTCAAAAAGAAGATGTTTAACAAGATATAAGATATGTTTCTATACTTAGGTCTTCATTATTTTTATTTAACTAGGATTTTTAAATTAATCTATAAATTTAATTATGTAATATACATATTGCATATTGATTACTAACATGTGAGTCAACAATACGTTTTTTATATTATATTTAAAAAAGTGTAATTAGTTAACTAATGTTACAAATATTAATTACAGAAGCGGTCTTAATTAAAATAATGAATGACCTAATGAAATTAATAAATTCGGTTTAAAAAAACAAATTAAATGATTCTTTTCCAAAATCACTGTAGGTATAAAAGGAGGTTACTATTTTACCTTATTTATCATTTTTATATAGTAGCATTAGTCACATAAAGTTTTGGACTATATACAACAGGTAGGTAGTTGTTGTCGTGTAAGGATGGAGGCTGGTGAGTAGTGGGAACTTTGTTTAATCAATAATACTTAATACATAATAGTATTATTGTATTAATAATCAACGATATGTATATAAGCGCGGTTTTAATATTTATCACCTTTCAACTAGTATGATATTCTCAGAAATCCATTGATAGTGATATTGTATTATAATTTATATTAATTATGAATACAATTTGGAAATTAAAAAATGGAATTAATATTATTTTATCAGTGGTGTAATTTGGGGGCTACGCTATGCACCAAAGTATTTGCTAAATTTAAATAGTTTTCTTACTCTTCTATTTATTTTGTTTGTGTAGTAATGAAGAATAAAATAAACAAATTATATTAATAACAGTAATAATAACCGACGAATTTACATAATTTATCCAATCCGGTTTGATAGAGGTAAGAATCTATGTTGGGTCTGGGAATTTGTAAGTTCTGGTCCAATAAGGCATAAGCTTTCGAATATGTCATCAGATAATTTATTTTGGTTTCTTGTTTTATGGTGTGAGTCACATTTGGCAAAATATTTTCGACAGAAAGTTTGACACCGCATGAAGCGCTTATAACGAGACTAGAGTAATCCCCCTTTTAGATAACTTACTTAAGTATAAACCTACCTAATGACTAATAACTACAGGTCATGCATTTGAATTCAAATTATTTATTATAAAATTTGGTTTGAAAAAATTCTGTGGTCAACTTTTTTTTATTGTAACTATTATTATTAAGGATTCCGTGAACCAAAAAATGTTAGTGCTCTAAAATCTGCGACACAGTAACGAGTCATTACTGATGATAGCCTTAACACAGAATAAGACAATTGTTTTAACTTTTCACTTTTAAACATCGACCATTGTCAGAACCCACATTTGACGTCGTAATGTCACCCACTATTTATCTTTTCTATAAGACATAAGTGATCTGTGTTTACAATCGGCTATTGCTGCATAATAATTACAGTATGGTACTACAACAGCTAAGTGCAGTGGCGTGCTGAGAAATTTACAACCTTAAGGAAAAAACAAAAAATCATCAAGAACCCATTTACCTAAAGTATAGATTTTTATGTTATATAATTAATTTTTTTTCAGTGAAATAACTAAACTGTTATACTTTTGTATATTTTAGATTCTGAGATTAGCGATGAATGTAGTGATTTTACAATAATGATTAATGATGTGTTTTTTTGTGTCTGGAGACACTTTTCTTATGGAAAATATTAAATTAACTTGAAATCTAAAAAAGTCTTATTAGTCTTCAAAATTGATAAAATCAACTTTAAAAGAGGTTTCTAGTAATACATTGGATCTAGTAGGTACTTTTGAGAGGTGAAAATTGATAATTCTAATTACATTTAAAATGCACTGGTAAAAGAATATGAACATTTGTTAACATTTTAGTATTATTATTAAAATAATTGTTTGGTAACCTTCGAAATGTAATACATTATGTATTTATGTACAGAATAAATAGTTAATACATCTAAAAATCCATTAAATAAAAATAAAATTGTTCATATCAATAACCTTACCTGTAATGTTATCTAAAATCTATTGCCTATGTATTAAAATTATTTTTATATTTCTTCTGTGTAAAACAGAAAAATGTAAAACATTTAGCACCCCCATTTCAAATTTCTAAATCTACGACTGCCGGACAGTATATACTATTCTGGGAAACGCTACTTAGGTCAACATGCTGTTACAATTTAATATTTATGAGCGTTCAGACATTTTCACTGTTCGTGGTAAACGGCTACATAGTTATTATTCCAAAGCCAGCAATAAAAATATTTTTCTCATCGTCTTCTTAGGAACACCATGTGCAGTATGTATGTAAAAAAAAACAATATGGCTGGTGAATTAATAAACTATTTCACTGTAATTCGTCGTTGGCGTGTCTGCGAAAATTTGCGTATCAAATGTAAAAAAAAAATTCAAAATATTATGACGATGCCAGTGCCCTTTACTTTGCTTTTATATTATGCAGTTTGATTAAATTATATAGGTACTCTGGAAACATTATAATACAATATGCTCTTTGTCTATAGTTAGTCATTTTTAAGGCATACAATTACGATCATTTGTATACTTTTAAATACGATGCGACTGGCAAGCGGGCTTCGTATCATGCGCGTACCTCGAGGATATGTATAGTTATTATAATTAGTTGTAATTATAACTAATTAGTTTCGAACAGTGTTCTAATATGTAATTAACTGTAAATATAGAATAAGAATTACTGCAAAGTGCCAATACGCCAAATGGTAGGCACTAATTTTCATATGAACCATGATGTAAATGTACCTAGAACTAATGGAAATAATATTATAATCGCGAGTAAATGCGTAAGCTATATTGAATGACATCATAATTCGACGTGTGTGACAAATAACAAATTAACGTAATCTTAATGTAACGGCGGAAACAAAATATACATTTTTAAAAGAAACGACCAAACAAATATTATATAGGTATGATATACTCATATGTTTTATGAGCTAATGACCTAATGTGTACTAATGTGTATTATAATATACAGGCCACGATGTGTATGTTTATATGCTGACATTTGGCAGTAAATTTAAATTCAATTATTGAATAATAATACAATTACCGTTTCTGTTTTATAGTTATGAATTTGGTTTGTGCAGAACGGATTATAGCTAAATTTCGTCTCCACCTAAAGGTTAGTCATATTATAGCTATACTTAGTGATGTACCCTGGAAATACTCCCAAAAGAAAGAAATATGTAATAAGAACTTTATGGGAAATATTTCCACCACATACTTTTTTTCCCTAAATTGGAATTTTTTTTCGTTCTATATTGGTCTACATTGTTAGAGGTTCACTGGATTAATTTATGTGATTGATATGAAGGATCGAGGAACTAACATATACTTATCATTGAAAATGTGTTACTTTTTCAATGTTTCTTCTAAAACACTAAGCTAAATGTTTTAACAGATATATTTTCTTCAATACTTAGTAATTTTTGTAACATCCATAAATTGCGCCGCAGAACATTTAAAAAATAAAAATAAGAGGTGATTAATAATACATTAATTTGAAAAGTCAGGGAACAAAAAGAATAAAAAATTATGGAAACATTTACGACTTAATTTAAGTATGAATAAAACATATTTAGGCCCCAATTTACATATAAAAATTCAAATTGGAACGCAATTTACGCAGTGACCCGCGCAGAAGCTATTCACTTTAAAACCGTTTACATTTAGGTGTTTGTAACTTATAACACGTACTTCATACCAAATACAAGACTTTGTATAAATACTTTAAAAAAAGATTACCTTTATTTTTATTATACTTATGTAAATCAGTATAGCATACCTACAGGCTACAGCCAAAACTATGATAGCAAGAAACTTGAAATGTTCACGATATCTTCGTAGTTCGTAGTTCGTGTCACAATGTAAAATGATGTACTATAAGAAAGGATTTGTAAAAATTTGGACTTTATAGATGGGCTCACACAGAGGTTTTATTTCGGCGAACGTAAATCGAATATTTTTTTTGTAAACCTACCAATATAATATATGGTTGCCATTGGTTAAAGCAAATATAATAATTGTAAGAAAAAAAATTGATGAATAAATAAATAGACTCAAGCATTTATAAATTGTGGAAAGAGAATATTTTCAAAAATATTGATTTATGTGTATCACTGTTTAAAAACACTGTGAATTAAATAAACATTAATGAACATACGATGAATAATTTATGAAAATATTCATACTTGCCTCAATCTCGCTTCTATTATAAATGTGATAATCAAACTTTATTCAAAAATTTACAAAATAATATTACCTTAAATACTACTTATAATAAGAGTAATATCTAAACTTAAAGATAAGATAGTTTTATTCAATTTAATGAAACACAAAAATTGTAAACAGTGGAATTATTGAATACTTACGAACACAAAAATTCGTTGCATTTCAAAGTATTCAAAGCAGTCGATGAACCGGTATCCACTTTTTTGTGTTTTCATACACAATGTGTTCACTGTCCAGAATTAAGAAGTGGTAAATCATATACATTTAGTTATCACTGTAATATTGTGTTCATAACGGTTTGTATTATATATTTATATATTTCAACTAAAGCAAAACGAAAAACGATAAAAAGATAGATTAACCATAAGTTATAATCCTGGGGAGTCGGGTACAACAGCTATTAGAAACTATATAAATAGTCATCAGTGATAAGTAATGATATAGCTTTGAAACCCATTAACTATTACATTTGACTATTATACCTGGTAATTAATTTTGTGCCATTAGATTACTATTGAGCAGTTAACGTCCTAAATGGTTTTAAAAAAATCAAATTTACCAGCCATTATTAATCATAATGGATATTTCACAAAGGAAATGACTAAACACACGACACTAAAACCGTTGTTATAGTTTTTCGTCAGACTTTTAATCAGATTTAAATACCTACTAGATGATTCACCAAGCACACTCATTGCAGCTCAGCATCTCAATGCTCATCACTTTTTAATAATTCAACGAAAGTCCTATGGTGATACAAACTTTATTTTTTTAAACTAGAACCACCATTTTTACTGTAAATTCTTAACTCCTAAGAGGAAGTCGTATCCGCATGTGTTGTCTCCGCCTGTAACGTACTACATAGCACATTTTAGTCCACAATAGTTTCAATATTGTGTTGTCTTAACAGAGTTATCAAACTTTTAAGTAAGAACATAATCTGTTTTCTCTCGTTTTTTACAATATTTTAATTTTGAAGTGAATTATGAGAATTTTCAAATACAAATACTTTCGCTTTACTCATTTACAAGTTAAAATATCTTAAAAAACCAACGAGAGAACACAGATAATGTTATGTCCATAACATCAGTTATGAGCGTGTAAATTATTACAATTTTAAAATACTTATAAATTGCATAGAAATTAAAAAAACGTAAAAAAGCCAACGTATTAACAACTGTAAACATATTTTTTCATATTAGAAAAAAAAGTCCGATAGTAAAAAGGAATTAAAAGTTTTACTGAGGACAGTGCTTTGTATACAAATTAACCTTTTTTATAGTATGGCTGGGGACTTGTTCAGATGCATGATTATTTTCACTTTGGACTATAGTTACAGGTATATCACTGTCCACTGATGCAAATGAATGGTTATGTGATAGACATATATCTTTAAGTTAGAAACATTTTTTTACAATTAAAATATTTTATAAGAATAAAAAAGGGATATTTAATATTTTTGACTGCTGTTTAATGATTAAAAATATTGGAATAATTGTATAGGTTATTTATAGTAAATAAATTGGTGTACTTCTAAAACAAATAAATAGATACATGAAATGTTCACTGAATATTTGTATTAGCATTTTCTATACACCATTAAATTTTCAAAATATTTTGACTTGTTTTAAACTGTTTATATGAACATTTTCAGTTTCCGATTTGTGTAGTTTTTTTTCTATAAATGTCAATAAAATGTTACCTAGTCGTTGGGTTAAAAAGCTTGACAATTTAATAGAAAGCTTCTAATATATTATTACAATGACAGTTGAAAAGCATTAAAAATACATAGTCACAATTTATTCTATACGCATTTCAAGTTCAAATGTTGACAAAATGTATCAAATTCAAAATGTACAAATTATTTTGTAGTTAAAAAATTATAAAATGTTCAAATTGTATAGCTAAGGATTACAAATTTAAAATAAGGTTACACGTAAGTAGCCAAAAAATTCAAAAAATTTATAAATACAGTTTTCTTATACATAGTTATTTTAAGTTCGAATGTGGACGAAATTATATATTAAAACCAAGAATAATGATCATAGTTAATTTGTTGTAATTTAAGAATATTGAGGTACCTAACTTTTAGAGTAAGTATATTATACAATTTGTATATAGTATTCACATAATGACGGTCAATACAATTTTTTCCACAAACATTAATACCTACTGTAATACTCATATGGCTAATAGCAAAATAAATTATTTTAATCACAATTATTTCAGATAATATACGTACTGTGTAATTTTATAGGTCAACAGACTGTCCTCGTTCAGAATCGTTTTTCGTATACAATGATTTTACATAATTGAATTCAAATTAAACAGATCCATTACAGGGACTCTCTAGGCACCTAATGTACAGTACTGCTTTACCCACTTACCTACCCGATTTTTAATTTTGTACATCAACACTTTGTCATTTACATAAAAATTATTTAGTAAATGATTTGCAGTAAACAATTGGGTTCTCATTACAAAAGCAGAAGTTTGAATGGTTTGAATCACCAGAGGACACTATCCATAAGTAGTACAAAAAATCTCAAAAATTTATAAATATGCGTTGTCTTGAAATGTGTATGTTTAAAAATTCCAAAGATAATAACTGAATACATTTATTGTTAAATAACAAAATGGGAGTGAGTATGCTTGTTGAACCACTCTGTTTATTTACCGTATATTATATTGATTCATTATTCATCGTGTGCCTACTGTTATAGAAAATTATGTATTTCAATATTGATGGTTAAATAAATTATAGATAGTTAGTTTTAGTATTAAATATATAGAAATCTCGAATTCAAAAGATGTTTACAAATATTAAAATAAAATTGTTCATTTCGTTATGTTTATAATTATATCATGGGAATTTGCTTTTAGGGGATTACTGTACAAGTAATAATAATAATATAGACATATAACAGTCTATAATATTATACTATATTTATTTTTGACCATGTGAAATCACTCCGAACAATAACATTGATCCATTTGGGCCAAAACAACAAAAACTAATATATTATACAATGTATAATATAGCGACAGATGTTGGTCGGTCAACCTCGAATATTGTGCATTTATGAGTATAATAATATACAGTATAACTCTACCAACAACGAGGCACAACACATGCAGATATTATTATAATGCGATAAACAGAGTAACCTTTTCGAATATAAAAAGTTTGAAAATAATATATATTACACGGAACATCTGGCGGCGGCTACCCGGTATTTGCTCCTTAAATTATTATTATTATTACAACAATAGACCGAGACGCTCGGAAAAACGTCTAGTGGTACCCAACCTCCTATAATATTATAATATGCCTATTATTATACGAGCTCGGATTAAACTACAATAAACACTAATTTATAGGTTTTAAGACGAACGAAAAACGATCTGTAATGAACTGTGCTGCTGTACGAAATATATATAATGCGAGACGCGAACGTGGAAAAAACAGGTAGGTAGACATTGATGCATTATTATTATTATAGTCTGCAAGTAGTGGTATATTGTATTATTATGTGGGGAGAATAAGAGAGTGCCCTATTGTCTTAATAATAATATGAAGTATAAACACGTGAACAACGGGTTTCAGCGTCCGACAAATATTTGCACGCGTGCCCGAGTTCTAATGTCCCATGTCACATGTTATGTAGGTACGTGTATTTATAATAGTATTCCAAACTCGGCAGAATATAGAATATTATTATTATATAATTGTCTTTGTCTTTTCAATTATCCGACAGCAGCAGTGGATAAGGAAAACAATTATAAACGCTCCGTACACCACACGCGTCACTATAAATTATAATTATCATTATAATATGGTTTTTTTTAATTAATAATAAATGTTAGATTCCGAGCTGAGCGATGAATTTATTGATTTTACTATGGTGTGGCCGGTGTGCGTGTTTAATTTACATTTTTTTATGTTAGTATAAAAGTAAAGTATTTGAAAAAATGATTCGATTTCGAATTATGAGGGTGGTTTACTGGTTTCAAAAGATTGAATCGTATAGGTACTTTTAAGAGGTTAAATTGTCAAAATTTGAAATTTATACAAAAAAAAATAATTAAGGAAAAACTGGAATTTGAAAACAAAACCATTTTTTGATAAAATCGATACTCTTGTTTTGGCTTAATATATTATAAATTCATAAACATCATTATCAAAGGTGTAACTCAAAAACGAATAACCTGAGATAGGTACTTGAAATTATTATTAAATGCTTATATAGCATTTTTTTGTTGGTGATAAATGTTAATCGTTCATAATATTATGACACTTTTATCGAAATTTTAAATTGTAAAGTACCAGAAAGCCACATTAATTTTGTACTAGTGTTTGAAGTTCAAATTTTAACAAATTCATTCAAAATCACGAAAATGTACAAATCATTTTGTATTTAAAAATGAATAAAATGTTTAACTTGTACCTGTAGATATTAGCTAACTAGCAGTGATAATATGTAAAAATAATAAAGACCGATGGATCTAAAACAGTTCACGAATAAGTGAATAACCATATACGTATAGCATGCATGGCGAGAAAATGACCCATGTCGGGAGGAGGATATCTCTTATAACTAAAAATGTCTTGGAGAGAAATTGTCTTTTTATCATTTCATCGATCATTTGGACAGTTTAAAAATTAAAAATTAATTTTGTTGTTTATTATACGCTGTGAGATTTAAAAGAAAGAATTGATTCATACATGTAACTAAGTATAACTATGTAATAACTTTTGTTCAAATTAATAATTTTTGTGAACATTTTTTGTTTGAAAAATCGAATAGGAAAAAAGTTATTACATAGTTATTTAATTACATTAGTAAGTTGTCTCTGTTACACTCGGAGTATGGTTGTTTTTGGTTCAATTTTATGTCATAGTCGTATGTTTGTATGACCTCTATCTTGCAAGTAGAATATTGTTTGACTTCGCCCTTGTTCAATAACCATTCAAAGTCGGCTGTGTCATAAGACTTTGGTTGTCCTTGGTTGGCTATGTATTGTTTTGCCTTATCTGCGATTGTTCTTATTTCGTCAAATAATTTCTTTAAATAATTGCACTTCCACTTTCGTGATTCAATTTCCTAGGAAAAAAAGTGTCAATCATATTAATGGTAATAGAGAATCGCATAGGTATCCATAGACTACATAATGTACAGCAACGGTAACAGTAAACTGGTACAAATCAATAATGCTTCCCATAGACCGATTACTGGGTATTGGGTGTAGGCAATGACAAAGTTGGCTCAATATAGCTAACGAACCTACTCGGGAACATAGAATACCATTTATGCACACTACCTTACCATGACATAATTTTTTTAAAAAAATAACAAAACCACTAGTGTGATTGATACCAAAATATTATATTACGATATTATTATATTAGTAAATAATATTTGTAGCTCTAATCAAAAAATATATGTATAGGTAGGTAGTAGGTACCCCAGTGTTCCTTTAAAAAAAAAAACAGATTTTAATTATATTTGATAACTGGTGAGCAACGATAGAAAAAATACTTTTATTTGGTCTCTTTAGATAAGTCTGATGACTTAATTTTGATCTGAAGTTCAATTAATCATAAAATTGGATTTTTACACATAAAATAACGATTTTTTGTTATAATGTTGTAATTTAAAAAATATTAATTCGAATTTCGACAAAATTCGTTAAAACCACAAATTGATTTGTAGTTAAAAATGTATACAATTTTAAATATCAATAGCTTTAATATATAAAGCTCATTGTACGTAATTCTTATTCATAATATTAAAAAATATTGAAAATACATAATACTAATTGTAAATGTAATGTTTTTAACATTCAAGAGAGGCCAGACAGTTGTTCACGTTTGAAGTGGGTAGTTTGAAAGTTTTCAAAGTTGATCCCCCCCCCCCGGCACTTTTTTAGAATTTATTATTATTTTACAGTCACAAATTTATTTTGGATTAACCTGTTTGTGTGAAATGGCATTTGATAAGATGCAAGTTGTAAAAGCTGAATAGTGAATACTATACTTCATAACATTATACTGAACTATACTTTCTAAATTTCTAATGATCATTTAAAGCAGCGTTCGATTAGCATTGGCCCAGATTACAACTTACAAGTTTGTCAATGGTCAATAATATGTAATTACGCACTTCTTCACTAACAGTATGTGATGGTGTTAACTCATTTTGAAATTAAATGTGAAACACTCATTTTTATATAACTTTACATTTTAGTTTTAATATTTATATAAGTACCAACGTTTATTATTAATATTAGTTATAACGACTTAAACTTTTTATGAAAATACATTTTTTTTAGGTGAGTCGACCATCAACGGAAAAATGTATTCTCAGTTCAACTTATAATCAAAAAAGGTTGGCTTCCCCTGCAGTATAATTACTCCTAAAAAAAAACCGATCATTATTACGCTTACTTCTGTGTTTTGTTGTGTGATATCTTCTGTTAGTTTTCTTTTCAGTTTAATAATGGCTCCCAGTTGATCCGACTCCTCGGGCGGTTCATGTTTTGAATCTTCCTTCTGTGAGACGATTGTATTACTGCTATGTTCTTTGTGAAGATCATCGGCAATAGATAGTTTTTCCGGAACGACAATTTTTTTTCTCAACATCTTTTTTATCATCTGCTCTATTTTTAAATTCTTAACTATTTTGGCGTTTTGTTTGTACAGTTTGGCCAATTGCTGATCATTTCTTGCCGAGACATATTTTCTTCTGTATTCGTCAAATTGCTACGAAGGTATAATCGTGTTTTAATTAATACTATCATATGGAAAAAATACATGAAATCAAAGCAAATGTTGTTTTGTTCTCTTATCAGGACATCAAGTAACTATAAATAGGTATAGTTCCTGACTCCTGTTTTGCTTATACATATATTTAACGCAACACATTGACATTGTCACGCTAGTAAATCCAATAATCATCTTTTGATGAAAAAAAAAATTAAGGAAAAAAAGTTTCAAATATGCACAGGTACGATAGATAAAATAAAAAATTATACTAAGTCCAAGTCCACAATCGATGACAGTATGGCATTATAAACCATTTGAATGCCATGTGAGATGAACGTTCTAATGTCGTATAAACATCTATATAGTAGTAGTATAAAATATATTTAATATACATTAGATACGTACTGAAAAAAACCTGAAAACTAGGTAATTATGTTACTAGTTATTGCTAGGATAAGCTAACCGTACTCAGTTAAAAATTTGGCATAGCTTTATTCGTGATTTTATTAAATACAGTTTTGTATATAGCCTAGGATGAACAAATCATGGCAGTAAAATCTGATTGGTCCCTAACAGAAAACTAATAATATTGTGTTTTTTTTTATGGATATTTTGATTTTACAATGATATATGTTTTTTAATTTATTACATATTTTTATATCTGAAGTCATTTTTTTAGTAGAAAAAACATAAACTTGGAGTTGAATTTATAGTAACTAATTATATCTAGTTGGAATTGCCATTCCTATAGGGGGGGGGGGGATTCAAATTAATCGTGAAAAACTAAATATTATACTGGATTATTTTTGCGATACCGATTTGCGACTTAATTGATTTTATTTTTTGGATGTAATTGAAAAAATAATACCTGTAGAGACTTGTATTTTTCACCAAATATATTTTGTATTAGTATGATAATATTTTTTAACTTTTTTGACTTATTTAAGGAAATTTTAAGTTGTTAAGGTTAAAATTGAATATTCTTAGTTTGAAGTAGGTTAAATTAGGTTAGGGGTAATAATTGATGTAAACAAATACCAAAATTTGATAAAATTGTAATACCATTATTAAAATAATTATTTGGTGACTTTGGTAACCCAAAAAGTTGGATCACCTTTGCTATAAATAATCGTTTACGATTACGTGTGATTTCAGATCCCCTACAGCTTATGGTTTGTTCAAAGACCTATCATCGGTTAGCTTCTTAAGTCAATTACAAAAAAGTGTTACATAATTATTGTTTAATGAAAAATTAGTAATCTTACTATATGATTAATGTTATCCTATGTACACATGTTAAAACTCAAATCTATTATACATACCTAAGCTTAGATGATTTAATGTCAGGAAAAAAATCTGTAGGTACAACAGCACAGTTACCTACCTTCAACTTTTCTCCTTTTCTAATTGTTCAAAAATTATGCTTTTAAACTTTAACTGATTACGATTCGTAAATTATAGCATCAACCTAGCTTTACCTAGTGGTCGGAGTTTGTCGGTATATTTAGATTCAAACTACTTTACGCGTGTAATTTTATAATTAATCGTTCGAATCGCATTAGGTCCGCTTACATACCTCAACTATGTTGTAGTATTCTTTAATGTTTTGCATTGTTTGCTGATTGAGTTTGTCAGATCTGCCAATTAAAACTGTTTCGAAGAAGTTGCCGATGTATCTCTCCAGCTCCTCGGTGTATTTATGCATTGAGCACGTAAATATCTGTCTGTTAGAGTACATGCCTTCTTGTTGTTTTTTCTTTAAAGACGTCGAACAATATTATAATTAATGAGTATTTTAGCTATTACTATTTTATCTACACCATAAGCGGGAGTGCAGACATAATTAGCAGGATAATGGATATGTAATACAAACATTATTGGGTCCTCAAAAATAAAAATAAATGGGACACTTCCCTCAAAAAAAAAATCGCAGTAATTAAATCACTATTTATTGACTGAAACTTAAAAGTATAATAGTCCCTTATTGTGCAAGGGATCTCGTCCATAAGTTCTTCAATATGAAAATATCTATTTCTAAGGCCCATTTTTGAAAACGAAATTCTAAATTTATTAATATTGAGTGATTTAAGAAAAAATACACATCAACAGAATATAAATGGGCCCTTTCTCGTCGTCGCAAATTAAGCAGTGGGTGCCCAGTTCTCAAGCTCGGCAATGGAAAATGTAATAACAAATTTGATTGAATTTCACAAATTATCTATGTATTGTAGTTAAAAAATGGTATCTGTAATTATTAAAATTTTTTTTTTTGTATTAAAATGTTCACATGCAATTATATTATAAATTAAAAAGGATTTCGGTCTTTAAACTATTTATAAAAATAAAATAATGAAATATAGATTTATTTCAATCATACCCATCCCCATTTTTTTCTTTAGTTGTGAATTATTCGATTCCTGATTTTTGGGATTGATAAGTATGTGCACCTACTTAAAGATCATATTTTGAAATACTTAGATGTTATATCATTTAAGGAAAACTGAGACGATACTATTTTTTTTTTTAGTGGGTACCCCTCTTTTATGTAAGCTAATAAACTATAAACATATGATTATTTTTAATATTTTGTAAAAATGTAAAATACCTAGTAAAATATATATAATATTTAAATCTAGTACAATTACAGTTTTTAAAATAAACGATATAAACGCATAGGTATTTAAAAATATGTATAACGTATTTTATAGTGTTATAAGTGCCGACCCTGTCATTATTACCATAGACGCAACTAGGGATTTATTTAATTTTTTTGAGGGGAGGGGGCTATTTTTTTGGTATCACACCTGTAGCCCGTAGTGGCGTCAACCCCACATCCCTTAATTATAATTTATAAATCATAACGGATTGTATACCATAACACATTTTTAATTCAATTTTTAATAAATAAATAAATATAAATAATTAATAAAAATATAAACATCGATAAATTTGATGGGTTTTTTAGATTTAAAATAATTGTTTCCCGTTCCTATAACGAATAAACGACTCTTACTTTTTAATTTGTATCTGTGCCTATTATAAAGGCTAGATAAATAAGAAGGATTACACCCCTCTATCTATGATTATTACGATAATTATAACTCATATGTCATAAGTATTATAAACAAATCATCGAGTGGTGTACTGCACCCACCTTAAGGTTGCTAGCGTTCTCCAACACCCTGGTGATCTTGTCCATCATGATAGTCCTGTTTTCTATCCTTTGGGCCGAGGTATTGAATCTGGTCCTGACGAAGTCCGCATCCTCTTTCAGGCGCGTCAACATCCGCTGGAACTGAACTATCCTGCTCTCGTACAGTGCATCCACGATGGCCCAGTGGCTGTTCACCTCGGCCACCAGCCGCTGTTTCTCGGCCACCAGCAAGTCCGCGGACTTCTGGCGTTCGGAAATCAGACGGCCGTTCTCCCAGAGCACCATCTCGCGCCGTTCCTTGGTTCCGACATAGTTGGCCTCGTTATCGTCCAGTGCATCCCTGGCCCGATGGTGCTCGGTCCTGGCACTAGCCAACCGCCTGTTCAGTTGCACCAACTTTTCGTCGTAATCTTCTAGGTAGTCGACAGGCGCCTGCTGTTCGGGCACCTTCCTTTTCGATTTCATATCGCTATTTCCGTCGGATTGTAATAGGGCGCTACTCGCAAATTTTGGTTCTTAATGTTCGATTGTTTACTGTAATATTATTAAAATAACATATTATTCAATATGTGTACTAAACTTCGGTTTCCACGCAAAATTGTGAGTTCACCTGAAACGCCTGTCTTTGGTTCGGGTCAGAATTTTACATTTATTGTTCTGGTGATTTCAATATAATAGCTCCGTATATGCGAGGAAAGTGTTTTAGAGGAATATTTTATAAATAATATTATTAGATTCCTAGTGGAGCCATACGAATGTATTGATTTTACAATGATGTGTGTGTTTTCATTTTGTTTCTGGGAACACTTTTTCTGGAAGAAAAAATGCTTCGATTATCAAATTTGATTGAGATTTCTAGTGCCAATTTCGATCTATTTCATTGTTTAGGGAACTCAAAATTCATAGAAAAATTATGGAAATAGTCAGGAAACAAAAAAGTATCAACATTTCTTAAAATGTTAATATTATTATTAAAATAATTGTGGGTAACATTGGTTACCAAAAAGTTAGGCCGTCTTTGCTTAGATCGTTTGTGATTAAATTAGTTTTTGTTCTATAAATGTAGATAAAAAGTTATTCATTCAGTCAAAAAAAATAAAAATATAATACAAGGTTCCTTATAAGATGTTATTATGGCTACTTATAAATATTAAAAATTAAATTTTAATTTATAACTAAAGCTTGAAAATATATTACAAGGTTCCTCGTTAATGATTCACACTGAAATTCAAAAATCTTAGAACATTTAATAGTTTTATTTTGTATAGGTATTCAAGTTCAAATTTAGATAAATTCAAATATTTGAAACTTTTAACGTACATCAACATATTTTGTTCACACAATGAAATATTATCAAATGCAATGGTTTCACCAAAATTTAATTCAACTATATACTTCATAATCGTGAGACTGGTAAGTCACTTACACACTGCAGACTGCCTTCACTCGGAACCATTTTACGTTTGCAAATGAACATTGAATTCAAATTCAACGAATATAATATATTGGTGACGTTTTCTTACGTATAATTTATCACATTCATTTAATATAATTAAAATAGGTAGTATAAGCGTATAAATGTATAATAGCATAGAGTATAATATATCACGTACAATTTATATGAGTTGTTACTTAATTATAATACAAGTCAGTGAATAGGTCAAAAATGCCAATAATAATTAATAGGTATCGTGCAGGGTGCTGGTCAAACTTTTTTTGATTAAGATCTACTAAGAATTTATTTTTATTTTGAGGATCGACTAACGTAAACAAATCATATTTTTATTTTAAAGTCTTTATCTCTAATATTAATAATAAACATACTCATTATAAATAGTACAATTACAGTGTATTACTGTATGAAATGTGTTGAGCATATTATGAAAGTTATAAAAAATGTTAGTTTCACATTCAATTTTTAAATAATTTCAAAATAAATAACTATTTGCTATTGTTGTAGAATCGTATAATTCCATATAGCGTTGGTCAGTTAGTTATATTATTCTGGGGAATAGACGCTAAATGCTAAACGAAGAAGTTACTCATTAGAAAGTGTAGAGCTCGGTTATTCAGCTTTATAGCTTTCGTGTGAAAAATATATTATTTCTCGATAACAGATTAATCCGGAAAATGCATAGATGTAACTGTATCTACTAAATGTATAGTAACAAGCAGTACCGTAACCTGGATTTTTTTCAGCGGGGAGGGGTATAATATTTTATTGCTAGGGCTAGGGTACTACAGAGTATAGTAAGTTTGATATTTCTGGGGAGGAGCTTAAGTCCTAAGGCCCCTCAAGCTACTTCACTGGTAACAACGTGCATATATGTATCGTTTATTCGTTTCACCAACATTTAAAACTATCGTTACGCCCTGCTTTAGTAAAATTATTACATTTGTATTCTATATTTTTTAAGGATATTTCGCATTACCATACACTTACATAAGTGCGTAATAAATAATCACTAATCGGTATTAATATTTATATATGCTGTACCTATGTAGTATTTAAATTAAGAAGAATAATTATTTTTAAAGTATATTCAAATTTTAAATAATAAAGTCTTAATTTAAAATAATTTTGTATGAGAATGTTTATAATATTAAAAAATAATTTACGAGAGTCAAACCTCTTTTAATATTGCTGGAAATAAATGATGGCGGAAACGGGTTATTGCCATAACAACTAACAAGTTCTAAGTTTCTAACAAAGGGGGAACGACTTTTAAATCGTAGTATATCGACCGCTCTATCGCTCATATAGTCATATATATATATATACAATATGCCGAACAGATTAATGTCTGAAACCACGTAGGTTCATTTGAACGAGTACTTTATAGATCGACAAGAAAGGCTTTATAAATTATGAGTATTAAAGTCATCAAACTTTCTAGAGGGCTGAGGGACGTAACAGTTTTATATTTTTATAACAAACCGCGGCGTTTAATATAACAGATAAGACATCTCGAACACGTTCGTGTACATAACAATATGTAAATATTAGCACGAAACATCCACTAAATTGAAAAAAAAAAATCATAAACTGTGATTGTATTGGCAAGTAGCTCATTATAATCCTCACATAAAAAATAATTTAAAACACGATGGTACTTTGTTCCAACATTGCATCGCTCGCCAAGGCGCTGAGATGAATACGTATAGTGGGGCATATTATATATTATTATAAATATGAAAAGAATTTTATGAGTGTTTGTTTATTTAACTAGTTTGTTTTATTGTTGTTTTAAAACATTTTCGTGCAAAAAAAATATATCGTGACCAACAATTCCATATAGAAATGTATTTACTATTTAGTACAATATAATTTGTAGTAAGGAGACTTCGATATATTATACGTATAGTTATGAATGTGATGAACCTTGTGCATTATTTATGTCAAGTCTTGAAACCAAAAATGTTATCAAAATAGCAATCTAAAAACGAATATTAATAATATTGTCACGATTCATGAAATTACAAGTATAGGTATATAAAGTATTTTGTACAACCTAATTAAAATCCAAAATATAGTCAATGCTATATTGTAACATCCATTTTATCTTCATTGTTAAAAAACTAATGCACGTAAATAAATGTTATTTCAACTTATTACGTATACAAAACATAACAATATTATAGAAATTAGGTAAAGTATCATGAACAACGGTATGTATGGGTATATGATGTCATTTAATTAAAACAGTGTATTTAAATGTAGTGATTTCACAACTAAAAAGTAAAATTGCGAATCTCGTCGTTGTGCCGTATAGTGTAGGATATAACCGATTGCACCAAAGCTAAAGACCTGTATTAGATATTATGACTATATGTGAGTGTGTAAGTCGTATGTGACCCATGCGTATTCTTGATTGGGAAAAAATAGAATATTTTAGTTAAATAGTAACACGAAATACAATTTCGTCCGGACGACCTTTCATGTTGATTGAAATGAGAATATTTTTCAGGAACATTAATGATACTAATATACATGATTCACATTATTCTTTGCCAATTTTCAAAATGTTGAACTTACTGGTGTGTGCATAATGCATATGCAATACAACTTATATTTTTTTTTAATGTTATTACATATTATTATTTTAAATTTAAATAACCCTATTATTTTCAAGCGACTTCGATTATTAAACTTTTTGTGTTATTAATTTAGAGAAATGTTACATTAGTTTTATTTAAGAAAAATGATAACTAAAAATGATAAAATATGACAAAAATAAAGGAGTTTAAATTTTTCCGAATTTGGTTTAATTAAAATGTATTGCCGTCATATAATTTTTAAATAGAAAAAGGTTGAAAAAACTGCACTATTGAATTTTGGTTGTTAATAAAACAATACGTCTAAAAAAATTTTAAATTAGCCCAGAATGTGTACTCATTAGTATGCTCATAGGAAACTCAGTATTACACTGGTATACCTACGTCATCGTTAAATCGACAAATACATTCTTTTGATATTTACCGATTTGTTGTCGATCAACGAAACGTGTCGACTGACCGATGTCCACCTAATGCTAGTTAAAGGTCATCATCCGACTGAAATATTTCGTATTACTATAAAACACTCTGCAGCAGTGACAAACTCGCACTGCTAAATACAAGAATAAAATATACTTGGTAATAGTTATTAATCACGAGTATAAAAATAATATTTAAAATCGTGCTACAACACCAGTCTAGGAAACTGAGTCATTAATGACACTGCAACAGGTATCACGCATTCATGTCGGACTGCCGGACTTCAGAAGTGAAAGTAAATATTATTATTATTTATTATTATAATGGACACCGCAACTGGGATTTTCCTGTACCAAGAAATCAAATTTAAAGGCCGACTGCAATATTGTTGCCAATAAATTAAACATTGTGAATTACCAACACTTGTTGATATTCAGTCAGCAATTACTTTACCTCCATAAAGAGATATTTTGCATATTAAAACAAATTTGTACTTAAATGTGTTAAAAATTGTAACGAAAGTTTTGTCAAAAAATGGGTCATCTCGATTTTTGGCGGAAGCGTTTTAAGCAAACCATTTAAATCATAGCCTATGGCGTATACTATAAAATTCGATTTACATTAAATATTTAATTCATACGATAATACATAATGTATTAATGAATTATATAACATACTGGTAAGACAGCATTTTTTTCGTAGTAATCGATTAGAAATTAACGATCCTTATTATATTAAACTCACTATTAAGCGGTTTACTATAAAGTGTATAATATAGGCGAACTACTGAACTGGTGATTCTAATCCAGTTGACATAATTCGGTTAATTCAGAAAATATTGTCGGTTCAGGTTTTATTTTCACAACTATTTCAATCAAATCGGTCAAAAAAAAAAAAATAAAGCACACCAACAACCCGTACAAAATGTATAAAGTATTTAATATATTCTATTTTTTATTTTTAGTATTTGGAGTGTAAATTATAAAAAA